ACTGATGGTTGTTGGAAACAGAATGTGGCTAGTGTAAGCGGTGTTTGTCGTGATTTTATTGGTTCTATTGTTTGTTGGTTTGCAGCTAAGTCTGTGTCTTGTTCTCCTTTAACTGCAGAAGCTGATACGGTGGTCTTTGGACAGATGGTTGCAATGAGGCTAGGTATTTATAACGCATTATTGAAATGGATTCTCTGATCCTTTGGGAAGTGTTGCAGGTTTTCTATGGAGGCACATTGAAGTATCTTGATTCAGTTGAAGAGAATTAAAGCTTTAATGGCAAACTTGAATGTGATTTGTGTGATTTGGTCTCATGTTGATTTGGTCTCATGTTCGAAGAGAAGGAAATTTTGTGGCTCATTGGACTGCTAAATTTGAGTACAATTGTTCGAATGCTGAAGCCTTTTCTAAATTTCCTGATGATTTGTTAGCCGTGGCTATTAAGGATTTCGCTTAATTTTATTTTTTTGTTGGGGTTTGGGTGTGGTTGTGAGTTGTATTTTTCTTTTTTTGGGATAGAAACCCTTTTTCTTTTCTATGTGTGAGTTGTACAGGGTATAGGTTGGGATCATATTCCTAATTTTGTAATTTTTTCTTGTGGTAATGAAATTGGAGCCTTTTGTGCTCTTTATAAAAAAATATATTCATAGAATATATTATTATCTGAATTTTAAAAAATGGATTTTAAGATTTGATTTTGAAAATGTACCCCTCCGTTTGAGATTACTATCAACATGAACATCATTGGGGATTAATTATTACTTAAATACCATTAAAAAAACTAGCCCTGTCAACTCCAGTCTTTGTAACAAGATTAGACTGACTTAGTGAAGGTTAAATAGTGTTCCCTGTAGGGAGGAGGATAGGATTGGCCCAACGGAGGCTCAATCTTATCGACTCTATTCCATGTAAGGAGGAGGATCAAATTAGTAAAAATGTGGGGAATACGAGCTTGCCCCATAGGCAAGGCGACTTGTTGATCTTAGCTTATAGAGGGCTTTCTGCCCTATCAAATATACCATATGATTCAATACTCAAAAGAGTAGACTGTCATTGAGGAACATAAAGGATACAACCGTGAATGTAATACAATGGTATCATTTGGCAGCAAACCATCCTGTCAAAAAACTCGTCGTAACTGCTTTTTTGTGTTATCATTTGGCGGGAAAACCACGCAGACAGAGAAGTCAAGCCACATCATTGCTGGTATGAGAATGTTTTGAGTTTAAATTTAGTAGTATATTTGATATGACATTAGCTCTTTATAAGCTTGAGTTAGCAATAAATTTGTGCACCTCGACAAATGGTTGGGGAGGGTGATTGAATTTTATTTTTAAACTTTATGTTGCATAATTTGTTTATTTAAACATTATTTTTTATGATTTAAAGTATTTTAATTTATAAATGAAACTCTCTTGTTGAAAATCATGATCAATAGGACCTTCATCGGGGAATTGTTTATTTTTTAGCACTGTCAACTATACCCCCCTTACAGAGGATCATATTCATAGTATATATTATTATCTGAATTTTCAAAAATGGATTTTAAGATTTGATTTTGAAAATAGACCCATCCGATTGAGATTACTATCAACACGAACATCATTAGGGATTAATTATTACTTAAATACCATTAAAAAAACTAGTCATGTTAACTTCAGTCCTTGTAACAAGATCAAACATGCTTAGTGGGGGCTAAATAGTGTTCCCTATAGAGAGGAGGATAGGACTGGCCCAACGGAGGCTCAATCTTATCGACTCTATTCCATGTAAAGAGGAGGATCAGATTAGTAAAAATGTGGGGAATACGACCTTGCCCCATAGGCAAGGCGACCTGTTTCCCTCGCAACATTCTTATATCACGTGTATAAATGCTTAATAAACGGGTCAAAGCACATGCGGAACTTTCATGTGTGAGAAAAGGATTTTTCGGCTTTGAGGGAGCTGAGGGAGGTGATGCAGGTTTTCGTGCGTGAGAAGCTTGCGGGAATGACAAAAGAGGATGAAAGATGGGAGTGAGAGACCCGACAAGATTCAATTTGCGGCTTGGGTTGTGCTGGAGAGGATTTCGCCTACAAGATCTCGTTAGTGGGAGTTCACGGGAAGTGTAGAGCAATGAGGATGGTGAGACAGACGAGGTAGAGGGAGAGAGGGAGAAGGAGATGGGGATTGTGGGCTTTTGTGTTTGAGAGAAGGAAAAACTATGGAATAGAAGAAGATGGAGGGGTTGGCTGCGTGAGGAGGAAAAGGAGTAGTATAGTATAATATTATTTTTATTTTATTTTTATTACTTTTCTAGCTAGAATAAAAGATTTTCTTTAATGTAAATATTATATATAATATTAATATTAACATTCATATTAATACAAGTATATATCCCATTCATGCACATCTTTATTTTTTACAAGCCTCAATTTGCATGCCACCTTGAACTTCATGTTAATGGGCTGTGTGTGGGACCCAATCAATATTGGTGTTCTTCCTGAATAAAGTTGATATTCAGGCACGCTCGCGTAGTCTGTTATCTCATCGTAGGTCATTTTGGTGAGTCCAACTTGCATGTGTTGCAGGTGATCTGTCGATTTTACCATGCCTACTCTTTCTAATCATAGAAGACTCTTCTTTAGGCAAAGTTGATGTTCTGGACCGACTTGCATGTCCCATCTTACCATCGAAGGTCGTTTGAGCGTCTTCGTCAATAATCGAGGTGATTCGGGCATACTTACATATGATGTGTCAGTAACTTACCACTTTCTTCTGAATTGGTTATTTCAACACAGATGGTCTTTTCTTAAATAATTTTAGCATTTTGCACGCACTAACAGTCTATTTTATGATCGGACATCATTTAAGTAACTTCGATGACAATTGAGATGATTCAAATTTGATTCATGTGTGTTACATTAGTAGCTCATCATTTTCGTCGTGGTTTCTGCCTTAGATCATAAAAGACTACTCTAGCTTTAGGTAACTCCGATGTTCTGAACAGAATGCTATAGTATTCATCATTCTCTTGTTCGTCTTATGTGCGATCGATTCATCTTGTGAAATATATATGAGGGACAACAATGATCATCTTAAGTGGCCTTTGTGGTCTTCTACATTGTCCCACCATCCTCTTTAAGTAATACCACCTTTACCATATAAAATGTGTACTCATTTCATTGTTTGCAGTTGCTAACATGAGCCTCTAGTACTTTCTCATCATAATCTATAGGTCATGTTGCTCCACCCCCTGAAAACAATCGATATAACCATTTTTAAGAACCTCCATCATTTTGCACATTAAGTTCATAGTGCATTCGCCTTTCTGAAAAAGACTATTGTGGTTACCTCCAAAGAAGAACTAATATGACCACTCTAGTGGACATCACAAGTTCATTTCACCCATCTATTGCCACCTTTGGGTTATGTCATCTCCAATTCTAACAGAGTACCGATCAAGCCTCTTCTAGTGTCCTCTATGATCTTCTCATGTGTCGCCTTCAAGTCAGACCATCTCCATCTACTAAGGAAGATTGAGCTAAACCATCGCCAATGGCCTTAATGACCTTTCAACAACACTCCATCAAACTTCAAGTAATGTGTCTCCTTTAGGGTAGAATTGATCTGGCTTTCTCTAGTGGCCTTCATGACCACCCTACATAGCTCTTGCACAACCTTCAGGTTGTGTTACCTCTGTTTCCAAGAAGAACTGGCTTTAGTATTATGATTGTGTAGCTAAAGCGACCAAATCCGCAACCCAATAAGCCACTAAACAGTGAAGTCCTAGCACTAAACAGTAAAATTTCCAGTAAGAGAAAATTATAATTAGTGAGAAGGTCAGAAATTTCCCAGGAAATCAAGAAGTAAATCTCATTACAAACAGAAATACAAGGGGAAAACAGTGAACCCACGGTGGATTGAAAAGGAAGATATGTGATAAGAGTTCAAGAAGACAAAGGGGCGGTCTGACAATGGATTTAGCTGTGAATTTGATAAATCTAGATTTCACAAATTTTGACCATGAATAACCAGCGGATTTAACTTTGTGGGCTGAGGATTTATGGCATGGGTAGATAACAACTAAGGTGTTAACATGCGATAAGGCTATCTCTTCCTCCCTCCCAACGGACTTCTTGTCAGACTGTTGTCTACCAGGAGCATAGGTTATATCGTTTGGTGAGATCAATCGCCTTTCTCTCGCAGTAACATTCTCACCTTATCTGTTCGAGAGATTTTCCCATTCTGAGTTTCAAACCAGGTATCCTTTTCTTCTTCTCTGCTTTTTTTCTCTTGAATGAGGCTTGATCCTCATCATATGGTGAATACAAACAATGTGGTTTTTCTCCGTCATGCCTTTCTTCCTGTTTATGTGCCTTGGATTCAATTTTTTTTTGTCTGCTGCTGTTTGAGATCATAATTTTAGGCGGCTGCTTTTTTGGGAAACAGAACTTGCCAAGCTTTCTAACTGCTTCTTAAATCATGGCAGAATTTGCCAAACAATTTTACTGAATTTACAGGATTTAGTAAATCTACTGTTAGACAGTTTTCTGGATTTAACCCACAGGATTTACTAAATCCTGATAACTTAAATCTCATGCGATGCTAGACAGCGCATAATAGTGAAGCAAAAGAATTCTAGCAAGGCTCCTATTAAATCTATTAAATTCAGCAAAACAGTTGGCTTAAATCGCAAACTTATTTGGTCTCGCCTAACTCGGCAACTAAAGCATTTCTCAAACCAGAAAGAGATAAGAACAATTGGAAGGTAGTAATGACAAATAGCAACACATAAACTCCATAGTAAAGACAAAAGACAAACCGTCATGATAACAAACATGAGGGTTTCGATTAGCAAAATCTCAATGGCCTATTTCAACAAAAACAATCGCAATCAACCGGAAGTTTGTTACAAAAGAATAAGATTTTCATTCTCTTCCAACACTCACAGATAGGGCATAAGTCGTAAAATTCATCAAGAAAACAAAATTGAAGTTGAAAACAAGAATATACTGCACCTGTGATAAGGTTCATGTCGCAAGGGACAATACACTCATCATAACCTGTGTCGTCGTGCTCGCTGGTCTCCGCCGGGACGCGGGTGCCATGGCCGCTGTAATGGACGAACAGGTAGTCGCCGGGCCTGGCGGAGCGAATGAGGTCTGCGATGGCGGCACGAATGTTGGCGCCTGTGGGCTGGGTGAAGGATTCGTCAGTGTCGATGAGGACTTCAATGTCACTTTCGTCGAAGCCGAAGCGATCGAGAAGGCAGCGATGCATTCGCAGGACATCGTTCACGCAGCCCTTGAGCTCCGCCTTTGTCCCCGGATAGTTGCATCCGATTAGTACTGCTTTCTTCGTCATGATCAGTATGCTTTCCGGCTATCTCTGCGTCGGTAGTGGACGATGAACCGATTTGGTGGGTGGGGAAAGGTGTGGAGTTGGACTCTGGACCTCGGTTTAATTGGAGTGGGTTTGTCGGCGGGGTGGACTCCATTACTCTTTGATGGAGTTTGCGCCGTGCCGCCAAGCGGTGGATTTTGGATAAAGCTATCGTGCACCAAGGTGCCCATCAGGCTTACGATGCTGCCACAAAATAAGGAGCTGTCCGCCCAGCACGTGTCACGGTATCCCCCGTTGCTTCCGGCTTATGAGAAATATTTGGGAAGTTGTTATAGAGTGGATATTGAGGTTTATAATTGTATTATACCTCTTGTAATTTTTCTATAAATTACCTATAATTGATAATTTTCACGTTTAAGGTTTATAATTGTATTATACCTCTTGTAATTTTTCTATAAATTACTTATAATTGATAATTTTCACGTTTCTGTTTTCATATATTTGTAAGTTACTGGTAGGTTACAAGAATGTTAAAGGGGATATAACGCGGATATAACTCTCAATACCATCCCTGTAACTTATATGACGTACGCAGAGTTGTGTATGTCTTACGTACACAAATATTTCTCCGCGCGTATGTTCGCTATTGATTTATCCGGCTTTATCACGGTCGGGCGACGAAGGTAATTTCTTTACGACCGCGCGACAGAGCTAATTTCTTCCTTCGATTTTGTTTTAACTGGGACAAAATTTGGATGTTTCTTTACTGGGCTTTATTTGGTGTGATTTGGCTATGGATTTCCTTTGGGATGTTGTCTACATAGAGCTTTGGGAGCGTGGCTGCCTGTGATGGTTTACTGGTGATGGAATTACGGTTGCTTTTTTGTCCATTTGCAGTACATGTTATGCTACTTGGATCGAGCTTCATGCGATGCTTTTATTCAATTAACTTCTCTCTAATTAAATTTCTGAAAAAAATTGAGCCATCATTTTCTTTATATACATTGCTCCAACTATGTATGAAAAGTTATGCAGATGGTTGGGAGAATTATAGAATGAGAAATCTTAAGTATTAAACATATGAATGCATAAGAGTTTGAATGATACATTGAACTTTCAGCAAATCTGGAATGATCATTTCATTAATTGCATATACGAACACATGTTCTACTCATGGTCTCGACAAGAAGGGTTTGCTTTCTACTATTATGCCGAACCCCTCTAGCTTCAACCTCTTACATTCCCTGCTGAGAGGACAAAGTAGTCTTCTATAATGATGAAATAATGGAGAGTTCTAAGAAAAAGAGCTGACCTTTGTTGGGATATGCCCTCTACGAGACCCGAGAGTTCTAAGAAAAAGAGCTGACCTTTGTTGGGACAAAGTAGTCATGCCGTACATTAGTATATGTAAATAATAAACTTTGGCCAACTTAAAGATTTGTTCTTGTCGATCTCATCTCTCATTGAAGGAATTTTTCAAATTAACACGAGCCAATATCTACAGAATCATGTTCAATAATTATTCCTAATGTATTCACATTATTATTCCTAGTGACTTAGCATTATTCACATTACGATGATTGAACATGATTTCACGATCCTTACATGTCAAATATTTCCTAATGAGAGCAACAACAAAAAATTTCATTCCTATACAAGAGTCATATTTGGATAAAATAAATTGTAGCTCTTTGCACTAAAGAATATTCATGGTACAAACAACTAGCAAATTCCTTAATTATTTTGTTTATGCTGAAAATTGTGTTTAAGCAGAGAGAGTTATGGAAATCATTTATGTAGATTATTATAGGGCAGATAATATGAAGTCAAAGCAATTGTTCTTCCTCTTTGCTCTACCATATCTAGTATTCATTTGGATCTTGGGTCCAAGAACAATGTGCTTTTGCTTGGCTAATTTCTATGATTGATAACAAATAATGGAGTCTCGCACTTGTGAAGAATGGAACTTCCTAAAGTTTTTTTTGCATCTTATTCTAATTGTATTGTTTTGAATGCAATTTCTTCCATTTTTCTTCATAGACCGTATAGTTCCTTCTATAGAACAAATTGTAATCTCTTATTGGGAAACTTTTCATTCCTTGTGTAAATTTCATTCTTAAGCACAAATAGCTCTAGTTAAGAGCTGAAGCTCCATAACTGAGATGAAGCATGCAATAACTACTGGAAAAGTAGGATTTATAAGTTGTTAACTTTGGTTACTTTTGATAGGGTTTCCTTCTTTAATCAAATGAGCTGTTAACAAGGATGGATTTTCTATGTAAACATTTTTTGGATATGTTTTCAGATAAAGCATTTCATTCATAACTTTCATTTTTTTGGATGTTTTTGCACATGAAGCCTACATTGGTGCATTTTCGATGTGAAGATATGGGTTGCATTTTGGTGGCGTTTGCTACATGGTTTTGGGAGGGGTTTGGTGTTTGTTAGTGGTGCATTTTGATGAGGTTTGCTGAATGGTTTTGGGAGTTTTGTGGTGTTTGTTGAGGGTGCATTTCGATGAGGTGTGGTGGATGGTTTTGGGAGTTTTATGGTGTTTGTTGGGGGTGCATTTTGATGAGCTTTGCTGGATGGTTTTGGGAGGGTTAGTGGTGTTTGCTGGGGGTGCTTTTTCATTAGGCTTGCTGAATAGTTTGTTGGAAGCATGTGGTGTTTGTTGGGGTTACATTTCAATGAGGTTTGGTGGATGGTTTTGGGAGTGTTTGTGTTGTTTGTTCGGGGTGCATTTTGCTTTAGAGGAGAGGTAATTTTTTTTAAAATGCTATCCACTATACTATTTGTTTGTTGCTTTTGATTGAGAGGAATCAAAGGAAGCATTATGTGGTGTGGAGAAATGCTAAAGGAATCCTTACTATTGTCATATGCTTTATTTCTAGAGTGGTTGCTTACACTTCCTATCACAATCTTCTTTAGGATGTGGGATTGTTGGAATATATAAATATTTATTTAAACAGTCGATTTTATGATATAAACATGTTTTGGGGGATTTTATGTTATCTTTTTTTATGGGTTTGTGAGGTCAATTATAAAACATATGCTTTATGGGTTCTTCTAGATGGCCAGTTCATCATTGTTTTAGTGGTGCATGTGAAATCCTGATAAAGGCAACCAAGATACTCTCCTTTTTATGGTGTTTTAGCTTAAGAGGATCTATAGGGATGGCCTTTTTTTGTTGATATGCATATGTGTCACAGGCAGTGGGTTGCTCGTTGGTGTGCATGTGAAATCCTAATGAAGGCAACATATGTCTTTTCTTCTCGGTTGTGCATCAATATATAAGGATCTACTAAATGACCTTTTGTGGTGATATGCACATGTGGCACTAAATGTTGGTCCCACGTAGGTTAAAGGCAACAAAGAACCCATTTTTTATAAGGTTTAATGTCTGCATGTTGTGATAGACTCATTGGTTGGTTAGTTACTTCTCTGATGTCTCACACCTGCTAATTTTTTTCATTTTATGTTTAGTATATTTTTGTTACTCACATCATGCCGGTCACATAGCTACAAGCGACAGTTCTACAGGTGCCCACGGTTGGTAGACGGTTCGGATAGGTGCGAGTTCTTCAGGTGAGCACACAGTCTGCTCGATTCTTCTGCTGGTAATGAGCGGGCTTTGACTGTATCACCAGCGGACTACGTTGCTCGGGGTTCGACGACATCCTAATCGAACGACGTTGCTCGTGACATGCTTCTTCTACAATATAAAATGAATATTATTTTAATTTTAGTTACAATTTTAATATTTTTTTTCTTTTTTATTTGGTTCCTTAATACTCACTCTTAAGTGATGTGTATATCATTTTTTTGTACTGTTATGAAGTGGTTTTATTGGTTCTGAAATATCTAATGTGAAGTCATTGCAGTTCTGTTACAGAAAACACAACTACTGTGTGTATGAATGGTCATTTATCTAAAAAAAACTACAAATCAGTTGTTTTCCAAGCGCACAAACTAAACAGTTAAATGACTTATCCATAATAGGAGCAAAATTGTCATTTATCCAGAAACAACTACAAATGAGCTATTTTCCAAAAAACACAAACCAAACAGTCAGTCAGTCTATCAGGATAAACTGCTGATCAACAGATTATCAGGATAATCTGTTTATTTGGATAAACAACAGTTGCCTTAAACAAACCCTAAGAGATAATTGAGGGTGAACTGCAATTAAAAGTGGGTTCAAGTTTTTAATTATGATATTTAGGGTTTAAAGTGTTATTATATTATATATAATTTTTTATTCAGGAAAAAAAGGAAGAAAAGATAAATGGCAGACAACTTACTTAAAGTTGCAGAAATTCCTACTCAACTCCATGGTTGCAACACAAGGTAGATAAGCAAACTAGTTTATTTGGAAAGAACTCTCTGCTCTATAAAATAGTAGCGCACACGTCCTTTCTAAGGCAAAAGGATTCTTTTAGCGGTCACAAGTAAAAGGAAAAAGATAAACCAGTGATAACATAAATCAATTATAATATGTATTATACTTTATGATCCCCCTCAAGTTTATGCTGGTGTTGTTGAATTATCAGCTTGTCGTTAAGGGCCTGTATGAGGTAGCTGCAATTTAATAATAAGTTATTGTGCAGCAGCTGCTACGCAGAAGCTGCCGTGGATAAGTTAGCTGTCTATTTGTTTTTTAAAGTTTAAAAACAATTGTGCTGCAGTTATTCCTAGACAAATGATCATTATACCCCTATATAGTAATGATGTTAGCAATAAAATTGTCATATTAATATATTTTATACTTTAGAAGAAAAAATCCATTGCAAAGCAAGACAAAAAAAAAAGATATACTTGTCACTTGTGAGTATCATGATTACAAGAATGAATAAAAATACTATTAAAATAAAATTTAATAATATGATGAAATTATTTTTAGAATGCAAACGACGTATGTCACGAGCTAAGCCGTCCTCCAAAGATACTCTCCATGCTCGATCACTCTTGGCGGTGGAATCTTCCATCCTATCTGCCCACCGAGAAAAATCACAATTCTTCGTTTTTCTCTGCGGGCACTGTTGACATCAATTTTTGATGTCACAAGTATAGGGTGTCTACCTATATGACTCGGGATAGTCTACGGCCCGACCGTAATATCTGAAAGTTT